AACATTCTTGAAACAGACTAGATTGTACACTCTTGCTTATCCGATGATACTGTATATGATAATGATAAACAAGAAAATGTGGTGGCTGTCATGTTTATACACTTGTAGATGTGTCTGGAAAGGCTGCTTCTAGTACATAGATGCATAGTGACCATGGCAGGGAGTTTTGAGTGACAGGGTAATTGAATTACATTCTGGCAGCAGCTCCAGCGTGGATGTTCTGGAAATAGGCCCTCCAACCATTAAAGAAATTGTTTAACTGTGGGCTTTGCTGGGTTTTCCTGACTCAAAGGTTTTGCTGGTAAAAGACTGTCATAGTATCAACGTAATAAAACTCTCCTGAGGAACATGCTGACTCGAGAAACTGAGGGTGTGCAGGCCCAAAGAACAGAATATTTTGTACCTGATAGTTCGATGGAAATGTGAGGATGATATGTCACCAGGGGACATCAGAGATAGTAACTGCATTCCTTTATTTTAATTAGGGCTGAACAATTAATCCTTTTCAAATCGAAATTGCGATTTGAAAGAACGCGATTAGCTAATCGTGAAGATGGCGATTAAGATGTAGGTAAATTATTTTTAAACAGTCGTGCAGTTACAGAAGTATGTCGTTGTCATCCTTGTGTGACAGATCTGCCAATCACAAGTGCCATGCGCCTCCTGTTACGGTCCTACTCACCAATCAGAGCGGGCACAGGATGTGTACATTTTACAACAACAAAAGAAACTAGATGGAAACGTGTGTTATAATGGCACCAGCGTGCAGTTTTGCATTTATTTAGAAAATCGACCTGATTCTCTATGCCTTTCTGTCTGACTTCCTGCCCAGTAGTCTTCTCTGTGCTGCTTGACGCGACTTCTGTCAAAAATAGACCTGCAGTGAATGTTGAACTTTAGCTAAACTTTAGAAAACAATTGCAAATCGAATCACAATCGCAATATCTGGCAGAAAAATCGCAATTAGATGTTTTCCCCCAAATTGTTCAGCCCTAATTTTAATTAGTATAAAAGGTATGCAGGGAATTTACACACCAAGCCATTACGAGTGGCTCTGTCAAAACAGAAACAGCAACAAGAGCATTCAGACCCAAGAAGGATTGTTATTACCTGATTATGAGTTGAGTTAAACAGAATAAATAGTAAAACTAGACAAAATATCAGCCTTTCCCAAAGCTAATCTTATGTTATCAGTTGAGTTTCAAGAAATGTTTATTCACAAGTTGAGGGTTAGAAAGCTATAGGGGAAAACCGTGGATGTAGACTATGTCCTGTTAAAGGTTTCTGAATGGACGTTTTGAAGCCCAGTTTTGGGTTCAGTGCTGACAGCCGCGTTAGACTGTAGTTGATAGTTAGGAGGTGCCTGCCAACAAAGCAAAAGCCCCCAAAACAAACTTACTTTTAAGCCTTTTACATTTATGTTTGTTCATTTGGCAGATGCTTTTTTCCAAAGCGACTTACATTTGAGAAACAACATACAAACATCAGTAAAGTAAAAAATCTACATGTGACAATAGATACTAAGAGCAGGAATAAATGCTAGTAAGAGCTATTAGCACATACGGCATTAATGATACCTAGGAGAAGAAGTAAGAGATGAAGAGTTTTAGGGTAGTGCCGGATCGAGGTGGCAGAGCCCCTGCCTCTGATTGATTTTCTATGAGAAGCAGGCTAGTTTCATTTTGTTTTGTCCAACCAACAATCCAAAAAAGATCTTCCATTCACTTTCATAGAAGACCGAAAATACCATAAAATTGCCACACATAAGAAGCTGGAACTAGTAAGCTTTATGTGATTTTTGCTTTAAAAAATTAGGCCTATTCATATATTTCTTGATTTTTAAAATGCTTGTCATTCAAAATTATTTCAATTGGTTAAATGACTACTCAATCTGCTGTACATTAAGTATATTATCTTTGTTCTGACATAGAATATTATTTAAAAGCATCTTCTGCATTGATGTATATTACATGTATCAAATCTGCAACAACAATTGAAGCAAACACAAAACTTAATTTCGATTGACAAACACGGATCTGCCCACAAGCAGCTGTTTCTGCGTGATGTTGTTGTCTCCTAGCAAACTCTGGTTACCTCATCACATTGAGTCTCCAGTAGAGCTGAAACAATTAATTATTAGATGATAATCAGTTAATTATTTTAGTAATTTCCAGCAAAATTGCTGAACATTACGTGGTTCTAGCTTCTCGCTTGTGAGCATTTGCTGCTTTTCTTTGTCGTATGTGATTAAAATGAATATGTTTTGTTTTGTCACCTTGGGCTATGGAAAATTGTGATGAACATTTTTCACTATTTTACGCATTTTCCACTATATTAAATTTTAAAGTAAGCAGTTAATTGGCTAATACATAAAATAATGGGCAGATCAATCAATCATGACAATAATTGTTAGTTGTAGCCCTAGTCTTTGGGATGGTGGTTATTATTTGGTTAATCTTTGCTTAGTGGTTGGCTCGAGTGCTAATGGTAGCTTGTGATTGTCAGAGGATGTGGTGCATTAACAGTGGACATGTTAAGCTGAGCAAAATATTGACATTTGTAAAATTCAACTAATAGTCTGTTGATAATGAACTGATAATTAGCAGTGTACAGTCCAAATTAGGTGACTGAAAAACATGGTAAGTGGGCATGAGAACTAATTAACTAAGGGACTAAGGGCAGGCAACTGAAAATCGAGGGTGCATTTCGCAGAGCAATTTGCTTTTCTTTAATTGTTTATGGATACTCCTGATTTGTTCCGAGGTTGCAGAGCAATCTCTACACTCTGACATACATTCAGTAGTTTTACTTGAAGCGCTTCAGCATGTGCTCTTTATTACTTCATCATATCTGACATGCTGATGGTCTACATATGACGGTCTGTATATGAGTCAGGCCAGCTGCCCTTGCAGTACACTAAATAGAAGGCCAAAAGTCAGGGGGTGAGCTGACTGAGGGAGGGGCAGGTTGTCTCCTATTACAGCAGTGGCCACCAGAGCTCAGCCAGACTCATCATTCCCTTCCACAGTCCCTTTGCTTTCTCTATAACTACAACACCTGCTGCATGGCCCTCTGCTTACTCGTCTCCCACTACAAACTTTTGGCCTGTAGCTGCATGGGAAAAAAGGGAACACAGGTGTTTTTATCTGATGTGTGAAGAGAATTAAGCTGCTGGCATTACTGTTGATCCACCCAGCAGAAAGCTAACAGATACTTGATTGGAATTAAGCAAATATTTTAAAGAAGCAGTCATCCCTAAAACCCTCAACATTAGTGTTGGTAATGCGCCTTCCATTTGTGGGTTTTGGGTTTTTTTCTTCCATTGTGTAATAAGATCGGGATTAACCCCATGTCAATATCTGACTGGATAGTGTTATGACACATCAGGATACAGCCAGTGCAGCAACAGTGCAGAAAAAGTATTGAATTGTATTTGAATTGTAACAGTAGTTGGAAAAAATATAAGTAAAATAAAACAGTAACACACCTGTATTTACAAAATCACAGCCCAGTGAAAGTACAACTGTATGAAACGATTACCGGTTTAACGGTAAACCATGGTAAAATTCCCGACGTTTATTATTACCGTACACATTTTAATTACCATGATAACCGGGTACGGTTAACCGCGCTATTATAATCTCACGGCAAACACTGTCCAGCGTCTACCAGAAGCAGGCGCGCACGCGCAGAATGCAACGTGGGTTTGTTTGGGTCAATGACTACATGGCGGAAGACAACGCTGCGGAGATTTATAGTGAACGCAGGGTGAGTTAATTTGTAGATTTGGTTTGTCTGTCTGACTTGCTAACAGCGTGCAAACTGAAGCTTTGAGTGTTAGCTGCTCTTGTAGAAACGCTACTCTTGTTGTGTGCGTCGTGTGTCGGCAGAGTCTATTCGTCCACTGCACATGATAACACGTTATGCAGTTTAGTAAACCAACCAGCATATCTAGAAACGCTACAGACTCCTCTGTATTTATGTCAGGTTTTGGGCTCTGCAGTTACTATCACTGTCTTCTAAAGTCTTGTAATTGTAACGGGGTCATTGTATTACCTATATAATATAAAATATAAAATCTTGATAATGCACACTTGGAATAATTTCATATGTTTACAAAAGGTATTTGCTGTTATTTTATTGTTCTAAATAGAACACCTGATTTTAAATGTACAGTTGACATGAAATAGAAATAAAATAAATGGAGAACCACTTCACTCTGGAGTAGGAATATGTTAGTAAACTTTTTTACTGTAAATTAGCATGTCAGATAGACCTGCTATCCTGTCCAGGATTTTGTCTTGGTGTTACTGGTGAAGAGACAGCCTGACTGCTCCCCATACCTACTCAAAAATAATGAATAAAAAGTTTCAGTTTCTTGCTATAAAAATAACATTCTCCTGTGTCATTCAGGACACTGTTAAAGGACTACAGCATAAATTACAATCAATCATTACTACATTATTTTTGTTAAGTTATCAAGCTACAATTTTCTCAGAAGACTAAAAACATGTCTTAAGATAGATGTTTGCAATGAAGAAGAAATGATCCTGTGACAAAAGTGGTGCACAAGTGGCATACAGATACTACACAAAATGCATCTTATAAGGCTTATTGTCATTTTACTAGGATCTGAAACAAAACAAAAAGTGGGCCAAAACAGTAAGTGAAGTGTAGGGCACAGACACATTTGATACATCTGAAGCAATGAAAAGTAACAAATCAACAGGACTATGATGTGTTTTCCAGTTCTGCATTATTAATGTGGTAGTAATGGAATAATTACAATGGGCTTACATCATTTCAGCCTCAGTTATTATTTTTTTCTAATCATCTTATTTGTACATTTGTACCTCAAATATGGAAAGGAAATCTGAAAGTAATTACAAAACATACATTTTATTGCTCACAAAAGTAGTTGAATTTTATTAACACTAACTTCTGAAAAGTCCCTGAATGTCACCATCCCATTGCTTGCTGTTTGAACAAATGAGGTGTATTTAAAAGCTGTCTGTGGAGACGCTGACGACCTGCGGCTGCACTCTGTTCCTGTTACAGTTAAAGAGCCAGGCCGCCCTCCTGTGGCAGTAGCGCTTTGACAGCAGCACATAGAGTACAGGGTTGATACAGGGGTGCAGGTACTGCAGCACTGTACAGATAAAGTAAAACGTCTCCCATGCCTGTCCATGGCGATACCGCCCCAGGTACACACACAGCTCCAGCACATAACCAGGCAGCCAGCACATTGAGAAAGTAGCAGCAGCCAAGAACACCATGACAGAGGCACGGCGGGTGTTCCTGGCACTGGACAATGACATTACAGGACTCTTGTGGAGAAAGAGAGCCAGCCGGACATAGTTGAAGGCGATGATTAGCATTGGAATAAAGTAGAAAAGTACAAACTGGCTTAGGACCACTTGGTAGTGGTGCTCATGAATGGTTGGAAGGCAGAAAGTGAAGTTTGCCAGGCTTGAGCCCACGCTGTCTTTGGTGGCAAACATACGCAGCGGCAGGCTGATGAAGAAGCTGAGAGCCCAGACCAGGATAAACATGAGGATGACCAGGTCCAGGGTGGGCGGCTGATACGGGTTGGTGATGATCATGGCACGGGTCATGGATACGGCACACAATGAGTAGGTGCTGGCGGCCAGGCTGAAGGCCAGCAAGAACTGGTAGACCTTGCAGGAGATGTCCCCCAGAGGCCAGGAGTGGCTGACGGCAGAGTGCAAGGTGAAGGGGATGAGTACGAGGGTGAGGAAGTCGGCCAAAGTCATGCTGAATAGGAGGATGTCGAGGCGGTTCTTACGTAACGAGTTGTACTTAGCAAACAGAGAGAAGACCAGCAGGTTGGCACAGAGCCCAATGCCCAGGATCACTCCACAGGTGCAGGCAAAGATCAGCCCATAGGTATTGGGAACAGCCATATTATCCCCGATTTGACATCACCTTATAAATAAAATATATTCATCATTTATATTTAGGAGATTAGTTGATTGACAGATTGACAGTGACTTTTTTTTGTAATCTCTTAAATGTTCAGTCATCTTTCAAGCAAAAGCTGGTTCAAGCTTTTCAGGATTTTATGCTTGTCTTTGTTGGTTATGTAAAATTAACATCTTTATGTTTTTGACTATTGGTTAAACAAAACAACACATTTTAAATATTTTAAATTGGGCTCTGGAAGAAACATTTGATTATATAATATATAATAATAAGTTGCTGCCCTATTAATGTTATTCCTAGAGAAAGAGGAAAGTTACATTTCAATTAATATTCATTTACAATCACTACAAATCTAAATTGTTTCTAGTTTGGTCTAAATGCATTTTTTGATTAAGCAAATATCATCTGAAAGTGATTTAACACTTCAACACAATGTTCTGCGTCTGCTAAAACACAAAATGTCTTTTCATTAACATTTTGACAGCTACTCTTAACTGCTGTGTTTTAGCTGATAGTGTAACGTACTGGAATAGGTGTTTGTCTTATCAGAATTCATTGCATTTTAAAATGGTGTCAGATTCAACAATTATCCATCATTGTGATGTACTCACCATCGTCGTTCCTCAAAGCAGTATCGTCAGGCTCATGAGTGAATTATCATTATTATGTAAAGTGGAGAATTCTCTTTCAGTGTTATCCATCCTGTTAAACTAGACTGAAGCAGGGAGTGGTGGCAGCCTTCCAGGCTTCATTACAAAGTGTGATTGTTGAATGTGGAGGGAAGAAAGGCAAACATCACTTGGGTCAAATTGATTCTGGATGACTAGGTTTAAAGAGAAACGGCCTCACACCAGCTGCTGAAAGAACAGGGACATACTATACATGCCTGTTTTGTTATTATTATAAGTCGATGTATGTGTATATTTCGGTTTTGTTTTTAGAAACAGTCTGATCTAATCTGTGCGTCTACAGTATATCAGTTTATATCAGACTTTGTGAAGTATAGAAATACCTCATTGACTGAGTCTGGGTCACTGACCTTTCCTGACCTCTCTCCATGAAGATGGTTTTGAGATTGCATTCATACTGTATGAAATATAATTAAAAAATAGCACTCTCCAAAGAACAAAGAACAGTCCATTGATGCTGTTCTCTGTTCCTATCCCTTCTCTGGAGATATTAATGTCTCTCTCCATTGCTTGATTGATTTCTTCAGCTGCAGGCTCCTGACGGCGGCTTTATCAAGCTTTCCACAGCATTTATGACTCTGTGTCAGCTAATGGCCTACGGTGTACACTGCTGCTCTTAGCACAGGATATAGCTGATGCTGATGCATTTGCTAACCCTTCCATTACCAGTGCCGTTCAGTCAGCGGCTGTTAAAACTGCCAAGTTCTCAAGTGTGACATTAACAGCTTTGTTGTGTTCTACCCGTGCTAAAAAGTCAACAGAAACATTGATGTTTCCTTTTTCAAGCTCATCAACTTTATAGTAAATTTTACTTTATAGTAACCTTTTTATTTCCTTTCTACGAGCAGAAAACCCCTGCTCCACCTCTAAAGCAAGGTTAAAGGTCATGATAAAATGTACAAACCAGCACTACAAAAACTGAAAGGGACTCAATGATTTGCTGAAAGACACTTCAGCAGGACAGATGCATATTGTGATTGAACTCAGGCCCTTGGTCTTTAAATCACCCTGTTTTCTACCCTTTTCTACGTTTAGCCACTGATTCCTTAAGAAGAGGTGGTGTGCATAGAGATCTACTCCATATCAACTTAATTTATTAAAGATTTTAGGGATAAAATAGGTAACTCAAGGTATAGGTAGGTATAGGTATTCTCAAATGTGAGGATTTGCTTCTTTATTTGTCTTATGTAATTGAATACTGAATATATTTGGGGTTTTTTTGTTATCTGGACACAACAAGCAGTTGAAAGAGGTCACCTTGGGCTCTCTGAAATATCCACATCAGGTTTCAGAATTAAAATAGGTAGCTGACTATGCTGCTGGTTAATGTGATTTGCAATCAATCGATTGTTGTAGTACACTGATTTATGCATATTGCTCCTGATACAACCAACACTTAGTACACACGCAATCAAAGGGCAGTAAAAAGTAATTTTGCTCTATAAGATGTCATAAAATAGTGAATTGGCCCATCATAATTTTCCAAAGCCCAAGGTGATGTCTTCAAATGTCTCGATTTGTTTGACAAAACAAAATCCAGATATAGTCAATTTAATATCATAAAAGACAATAAAAAAGCAAACCCTCATATTTTAGTAGTTAGAATGAGGTAATGTTTAGCCTTTCTCCTTGAAAAGTGACTTAAAGGCTCAACCGCTAATCAAAATAGTAACTGATTGATTTCATGCTGATCGAATACTTGACTAATCATTTTAGCTTTACCTGTCATAAATGATTAGTTGCACATTTGAGCCACATGGCCAGTGAACAAAGACACTATAATCAAAATAATTTCAAATGGCTACACTTTTTAATGTTGGATTAACTGGAAACATATACAGTATGCCCTCAGTGCAAGTGAAGAACATTAAGTGAGTCTGACAGCCCTATGACTTGGGCTCACTCTATAAAAGATCATGTAAAATCGTGAGAGTGATTTTGATGGAGCATCCAATAGGTTACAGGTCCATGGGGGATCTAAGGTGGGAAATGAAAGCAGGACCATCAAAAAGAAACATCAAATTAAAACTCAACCACAAAAGAACATGTACAGGATATAACTAAAGTGCATTATGGAATTTAGTCAGCAGCACCGCGATACATTCACAAAATAAATACACACTTTCAAAGTGAAATAAATTATGGCAGAACAGTTCGAACAGATGTATTCAGTGAACAGTTTGTATCTAACTGTAAGTCCACAATAGTCAACAAATACAGAGCCAAACAAAAGTAGACCACTCAGCCTCCAAATTTTGTGAAGTTACATTATATTCAGGAAATAAATAGTTCCTCATATGATCTGCTTGTGCTCACAGCTGGATAGAGATGACAATATATGGCATCGTTTTAATGTAAATCAGGGTCACAGCGGCCTACAGATTTTCCAAATAAATATGGATCTATGAAGATGTTTTAAGATAGTTCGTGAAACTTCAGGAAGTATGAGATTGAAAATACAAACATAGTAAGATATTATAATAACAAGCACAATCTCAGGGCCATAATATGAAGTGACTGAGTCAGCAATGGGTCGAGTCTCTCAGATCACAGTCTAGTTGAACCTATTCAGTGTCTTAGTGCAGTACCATATAAAGGCTATTGGTAGTCTCTTAGCCTGGGTACTACGTCCTTCATGGCTCCTTTGTTGTGACAGACCGTGCCCGCCTCCGCTTCTTGTCGCTCTCTCTACGTCGGCCTAACCTCACCTTTTTTTTTCTCTTGGTGGCCACTTTAAGTGGCTGGTCCTTATAAGCCAGAGCCTTGTTGGTCTCCTGGGGCAGGTTAGGGCCCTCTCTGTCCAGCCTGAACCTTTCAGGGATGTTCTTGGTGCCCCCTGGGGGCTTCTCGTGTGGGACATTCCCACTGAAGGGTTGGCTCTGGGTTTTGCTCTGCACAGGTGGAGCTTGCTCTCCGGCTGTGTGCACCTCCTCCAGCAGTGTTTGCAGCCAAATACGACGCTTGAAATCCTGCAAGGAGCGGCTCTTGTCATGCATCAGCTGGGCGTGGCTCACTGACCTCCTCCTTAAAGCATGAAAGTGAAGAGACAGAGTCAAATCAACAAGGAAGATTACATAAAAGCATCCTTAAATGCATGAGAAAGGACCAGTACCCAGTTCACTTTTCTTTAAGTCTGTCAGAATTGTGTTAGATTTATGTTGTTGAGTTAACACCAACAATCTCACAATTGTCCCTTTTGTTTGTAATTTCATGTTGCACCACAGTGTTGAGTTTATGTGTGTTTAAAAATGGAGACAGCTGAAATTCAGTCAGGCACCAGGAAATCTCAATACAGTAGGTGGCAGCATAAACAAGTTTCTAAGAGCCATCACTAATCTGAGCTCAAGACCCAAGGAAGAGGCACAGTTGAAACACAGAAAACCTCCTCTACCTTAATTTAATCTTAATCTTTAAATCCAAAAAAGCAATTTTTCAAAAAATGTTGCTTCCCATGTTTAATTATTAACTAGTTCTTAATTGTTAATGTTCCAGGTTTGCATAAAATTGAATTACTATTCTAAGGTTATCAAAATAACTCACATTCTGTCACTAAGTACATCAACTGGTTTCCCATCAAGAGTCACTGGGGAGCACAGCAAGAACACAGCCAGACTCCACTGATGAAGCATGAATATTGAGCACATCCTTGAGCCTAAGATCTGAAGAACACAAGAAATACTATGTCAATCACTTCAAAGAATTAAGTTAAACTTTGTGTTATAATTTTCTTCAAAATTGTTTATCTACTATTCATTAGTTTATGTCAGTAGCAGCGTAGACAGCTGGAAAATGACACTGTTCCTGAGTATGTGACAACCTCAGATGGCATTATTTAGTAGAATAAACAGTTTTTTAAAGTAAAAAAGAAACTTAGACTTACATAGTGTGAATTTTTACAGTGAAGATCCACAGCAAGGCAAGTTCTTAAGTGATGATCCTCGTTGAAAAAATGTATTGGCAAATAATAAGAAAAAATTATTCAGAATCCAGATCCATTGGTGTGAAGGCAGCCTGGGGAAGTCCCCTGTCAGTCTGCTCCATTCATTTGCCTCCCAACAGTGCGCGCTGAGCTATTTATTTCTCCCCCAGCGTCGCAGTTAAAAGAGAGATAAAGATGGAAAGAGCAGCAGCAGCAGCAGCCCATCAGCTGCAGAGCTGCCACTCCACTCAGTCTTGCGATAATCTCATGAAGAGTAACAATGAAGCATCTTCTCTGGTGGCCGGAGCCGGAGAGCAGAGCTGAGAGGGTTTTTCAGTCCAGCACTGTGAGCGAGCTGTGTGAGTCTGTCTGAGAGAGACAGAGAGAAAGTCAAGCAGCTCTTTGGGTGAAGATGCAGGCACTACCTTAGCCCCTACCCATGAAGTCCAGTCCTAACACCCTCCCCAACCTCCCCACCCTCGCATCTCTCCCTCCCCCCAACCCTTCACACACACCTGCTGTGACAAGAAGGTGGCGCCCACACAACATCCAAACCACCACACAACAAAGTATACTCAACATCAGCTTGGAAAAAAATAAATTTTTTAATCAGTTTCAACTGATTATTGCTGTACTTTGTAAATAAAGTCTACAGATAGTTTCATCATAAAGAGGTCAGAAATGACAGGTGTTCACCAATGTAGGTAATCATGGGTTACCAAGCAGAGTGTAAAAGGGGAGGGGCAGTGTTACTCCAAAATAAACAGCCAGGCCTAACCACTTTCCCAAGGGAGAATGACCATAACCTCAGAGAAACCCAACCCACAGCCTCTCACTGCAGACCATTCAAGTCACCTCCACTCTGCCTCAGCAAACCAGCAAACCAGCTCACCACTGAATGGTTACAGTGGCCTATGAGGTATCTCTCTCTATTCTGCTAATAAAGAAAGTGGAGAGCTTTGCGTTGAGGCAGCCATATACAATCCCAGGTTCATGGTGTGTGTTTAGGTGATGAAACCAGACTGAAGCATCCAGCCACAATTTCACTGAAAATGTAATAAATACAAGCATTAAAGGTCAGTTGTCTAATGCAAGAGGTAGCTGTGGCTAAAAGTTCATGTATTTTTAGCATCACTTTGATTGACAGAGCACTACATGCCCACATGTAGTAGTAAATGCAACAAGGACAGGGCAGTTTTTTAGATATCTTGTAATGCTGTACAGCTGAACATGGTTCTTCTCTTTAAAAATCACTTAAATTACTTAATTTGTGATTTTGCATATACATGCTAATTATTGGATATAGTATTTCCATTTAGACATGTTGGACTTTTTCATTGAACTAGGAACTAAAATGTGATGTGTGTGATGTACAACATAAGTTAAGTTTATATCAAGACCTCATGAGGAAATCCTTGGTTTCCAACCAAGTAGGCATATCAGGTGTGTTTTAACAGGAAGCTTACTGTACTGTAGGTAGGCAATATGTGTAGGCCTATACTCTATGGTAAACATAGTACGAGACAGATGCATCCTCCTTGTTGCCCACAACAAAATTACATAGACCTGCTACAAGTTTTGAAAGCTCTGCCTATTTTCCTATACAGCTTCCCTGAACTCCTAGTCAGATGTGCACTGAACCTTGTGGCAAGCGCAGCTTAAATCGCATTGTGTTTGAAAGGGCCTTAAGAGTCTACAGCAGCCCTATTCAATTGGCGGCCCGCGGGCCAAATCCGGCCCCAAAGCGACCTCCCTGTGGCCAAACCAGCATACATAATCTGAGATATACAACAAAAGTAAACTACATGTATAGTGTATGGAAGCAGCTAAAGAGTGAACTATATTGTTTCCTTCTCATCTTTGTTGAGAGTTCACATGTGTTGTACTCATCCCCGGTACAGCGCAGCGTCCGACCTGCTGCCTCTCCCCTCCTCTGTGTGTCTGCAGAGTGTCTCCACTCCACATACACACACACATGCAAGCGCACACGGAGTGAAGTCAGCCAACTGAGTAGTGGACATTACCGTCGTTGACGACAACTACGCTTGTTAAGTAGGTAGTGCAATTAAACCTTCGCAAGTAAAAAGCCAATACTTTACCAACACACCGGTTTAATAAGCATAAACACGCAAAACACAATGTTATAATCTGTTCAGTCTCTCATCCACCGCAGCTGTGTTTTGGTTTTACACAGGCACAGCGCTAGTTCAGCTAATAGTTTATTGTCAAAAACAAGCTAAAGTGAAAGCTGTCTGTCTTTAGTAACTATTTAGCTTAGTTTGCCAGTACCTTAAAATATGGCACATTATAAACTCAGCTGCTGGAGACAGACCAGCCCTCCTCTCTACCTGCAGCAGCAGAAAGAGGAAGAGAAGGACAAGAGGGTCTGAGTTGTTGATTCTTTCTAAACTTCACTCAGTATTTTGATGTCAGGCTATGTCACATAGGCTATGATTTATTTGACATTTTAGATTTGTTCCTAGTGAGATATTAGTGACTTTGCTGTTGTAAATCCTGTTGCTGCTCTAGAAACTACATTTAGCCTAGTTAATAAAAAATATTAAAAGTTTTTTTCAAATAATATATTTTTTCAAAGGCAATTATTTAGTAATAAATAGGACTGATAAGAGCATAGTTAAAGAACTGGACCAATAAGAAGTACCAATACAAGTGTGTCAATAAAATCCTAATAATACCTATCCCAACTCGTGAGAAAATGTAGCCCGTCTCCATGTCCTGGTTTTAAAATCCGGCCCAATTGAATTTGTAATTGAATAGCCCAGGTCTACAGCTATGCTAGCGGCTCTGTGAGGGTGTACTTAGGCACAGCTGTGCTTTGAGCTAAATCCTAGCTTCAGAACTCTCACAATGACAATTCTAACAAGCCTTTGTTAAGAAAGTAAAATGTTTACCATGTGCACCATCTGAGTTAACATTAGCATTTTAACATTTGCTCATTTTTACTAAACAGAATATACAGCTGTGGCTGACAGGAATTTCTAGTGCAGTATTTGGTCAATTTAAGTTTTGACCTGATGGTGACGTCAGATGAAATGAGTAGGGATCACAAAAGTTGTTACAGTTCAAGGCAATCTGTCATATAGTTGTGAAGACATCTCACTCTGAACCACAAATTTGAACCACATGGTGGTAATAGATAAAAAGTCAGAGGATCACCAAATCAATAGGATTCATATACTGGGGACTTTGAATTTCTGTATATTTCATCACAATTTGTCCTTTACTTGTTGAGATATTTCAGTATGAATAAAAGTACTGAAGTACTGACATGCACATTTATGTTATAAATGCAGCTGCAAGAACAAAACTTATGTGAAAATGTTTGATTTTAAAGTGAACATATTGTAATTAAAACTATTCTAAGTATCTATTAACTCCCCACTACTCTGCCAGTAGTTCCTGTTCCTATCTGTGAGATGTCTCTTTTTTCTGACTCACTCTGTGAGTGTTTTGTCAGAGTGATTGTTGTTTGCAATGCTGTCTGGGCTGAGAGATGTTTTCTCTACTCTGCTCTGTGCTGGACTGCTTGTGTGTAACCATCATCTCTGCTTCTCACAGCAGAAGGTTTTGTTTACAAGTTTTGTGGTGAATAACAGGTAATGTACTCTCTGTGCCATCTGTGTGCATATATTAATAATAATGAAATTAATTTATAGGGCACTCAGAAAAATAGAGTACAAAGACATGAAATAACAGTGAATGATAAAAATACATGAGGGGCAAAATGAAAATAAGAATTGATGTGCTGTGATGCGCTATTGCTTCGCCTGGCTACAATTACTGCTGCCATGATCACTGGAAAGTCTGGGTGTGACACCCCTTATCAATGCTCTTCAGTTACCCCCAGCTCTCTGAAGATGCTATTAATTTGACTCTAACTGTGTGTGGCTGATGTTTGTGAATTGGAGTTTATTTGCAGTGAGGCTCATTTGCATAGAAAGGGGTAAATTTTGCGCCAAATAGCTCCAGAGCACCAAGATACCATATGTGTGGCAGCACAGTTAAGGTTGCATTTCACCCTTTTGCGGAAATTTTTGTCTTACTTCTGCAGGTTTAGTGGGCGCAAAAGGTCCCAATCCTTTGTGTGAATTTCGCCCCTTAGACTTTTTTCACTTTAAGTTCTTTCAGATTTTTGAGACTTCTAAATCTCTTTATTGCTTTCATTGCAATCATTTTGATTATTTTATTAGCCATGGAAAGCTCAGTATTGCATACCAACTATTTACCTGCTATTCTAAAATATATTAAAATAATTATTATTAACCAGTACTTGATCACTCTTTTTTATACGTGTATTGTGTTGTCATCATTAAACTGACTTTCAAATGACTAAAATCTTACATAAATTTAGAAACAGAAAAATGTTAAGAAAAGTGATACTGCAATGTTCCTCTTTCCACTGTAACATTTATACAATATGGATACACTGCATCTTGCCTTATTTGTTTGTGTTTTAAGATGAATGCCGTCCATTCGAACTCCTGAGTCATTTATGTGGTCACTGTACCTGCTCACACTGTTTTACTGGATGGAATAACTTGCATTTCTCTTCATGAATAAAACCCATAAATTACTTCTGTGAGAAGTGATGATTAGTAGAATCACTTCAGGCTAGACTGTAGACCAGTTGGTGGTAAATTACTTAATAGAGGGCTCAGTATTTTACAAGCAGGCATGATTCAATTCAGCAAGGGGTCCAGAGGGTTTTGGGGCTGGGACAAATATATGGCTATATGGCAAAACTCAGCTTTCCTCTGTTTCCAGTGAGTCTGCCCCAAACTTCCAACACTTTAGGTACTACTTTTGGTAGGGGAAAAAATACCTCATTTGATTCCATTCTGCAAAGAGTTTACCTGCAAAAAAATATGAAAAAAATCCCATTTCCTGGCAGACGGCAGTGTATGGAACGAGAGCCTGGAAAGCTGCTTTTGATTCATGCTAAATTGAACTCTCAACACAGAACAGTATTCCTGTCCGTTTTTCATTCTTTTCACACTGCACCTACTTCACATTAATACATACAGACCTTATACACACCCACCCATCCTATTTCTAAAGAATTTGTACCCTCATGTTCCAAGCATCCAACTCATACACACTCATTTCATGGAGAAAGTGTTCAGCAACTATTGTTGGATATGTTGTACCCATTCAATGTATTGGCCCACCCTGTTATGTCATAAGTCCTGGCTTTAGTTGCAGCAACAGTTCCTGCTTTTGTTGTGGCATTACATTCAGAGTCACTATGTACTTGGCATGTACATTCAGTTCTGTCTGTGCCAAAAAGTTCACTGTTAATTACTCAGTCACACTCTGGTCCTCTCACCGTTCTCTATTATTATGGCACCACGCCCCTTTAACTC